TTAACGCGCAGTCGGCCAACTCTAACCCGCCCAGTAAGGTGGCCAGCATGTTGCTGACCGTGTAGATGTCCGCGTCGTAGGTCGCGGCATACGTGGTCAAAGGGGCGAGCAGCGCGTGAAGCTTCGTAGTGAGGCGCTCCGATATCCACTGGGCGTACGACAGCCCCAACGGGCTTGAGAGCGCTGTCTTGAGTTGTCGGATGAGGAGCTCCCCTACCCCCCGGATAACTTGTTCCACCGCCGCCGCGATGTTTGTAAGCGGGGCTCTGCTGCCCAATGACATCAGTACACCGCCCACAATAGCGTCTGCCAGGATGTGGGTATGTGTGGTGCCTCCCAAGTTGGCGTTCGCGCGTACTAAGGTCTCCCGATGGCGTTCCACCGCTACCGCTGCTGCCTGGGCGGCCAGGCGACCAGGGTTGCCTCCCAATCCCATGGGCGGGGGTTGTAGGTGCTGCAGCGCTGGCATCTGCACGATCCTACGGGTAGTCATGCCTCGGGCGTCGGATTCTATCGGTCCAAAAAGCACGTTCCCAAGGAGAAGTTTACCCCCCGGCTGGGGCAAACCGTCTGATTCTGCCGCTTGGCTCCAGTGGCCCGGCGCTGGCGCTGGGTGGGCTACCGTTTACGTTGCGCGTTTCGGGGCGAACGGAATGCCCATATTTTCCCAGCTGAGGTGGCCTGTCGCTGCCGGGTGTAGATCGCTGCTCTCGCGTTGTCTCGCCAATGCTGGGTACTCCTGGCGTTCCTCGACGGGGTAGGGTGGGGCCACTACGCCGGCGGTACGCCAAACACCAGCCTCGGGTGCGGGGTGGCCATCCCGCTCCGTGGCGCCGCTGCTCAGGTACTCGTTCGCGGGCAGACTCGGGGGCCGGGCTACCTGTCTCTCCTCCAGAGAGGTGGGAAACCGGGGCCCCGAGGGCTCGTGTAACTGTCTACCGCCTACTGGCGCGTTTCCGAGCCTCGAAGTCAGGTTGGTGCTTTCCAGGTCTAGCATGCCCGCGGCGTGCGCCGCCAGCAGCCCTTCTAGCCCGTGCTGGTGGAGGATCTGGTGGCATAGGTTGATTTGCACCAGTCGCCGGACTTGCCGCCCTGCTGCGTCTGCGGCCGATGGCTGGGAGCCCGCTGCCCCAAGGTCTTCATCTGCCGTCGCCGGGGGCTGACCTGCTGGTGGCGCCGCTAGTGGGTTTAGGGTTCTCAGGCCAAACAGGTCCCGTGGGGTAGGGTTCCGGTCGGCCTGGAATGTCGCTGCTTCCCACGCGGTGAGGAGGTCGACCGCCGCCCTCGCGCCTGTGGCTTGCGCTCTTCCCGGGGTATCTAGACGCTGTCGCCTGGCGGCTGGTGAACGTGCCGTCGGCGATCCCAGCAGCTGGACGGACGGCATGCGCAGGGGTGACCCTCCCCCTAGGCCGCGAGGCACTCCCAGGGGTTCGGCTTGGCGGGAATTTCCCGAATCCGGTCCCTGGGTGGCTGCTTGTTGGTCCGGTGGTAGGAGTTGTGGTGCGCGCATGTCAGTTTCCTGTAGGGACGGAAGATGGTGGAGGTGCCGCGGGTTTGGTCTAGGTCTCCGCCTTGCCTCGCTATTGATAATATCTCGTGATGCCGAGTCTAGGTCGCCGGATATCTTGGCGCAAATCGTGTAAGGATTCCGCCGGACATTGTCTGGTCTGCCTCTGACTCGCTATGATGAGGTCTCTGGCTCGCTGGGGTGTCGGCTTCCGGTCACTAACATGGTCAGCGCCTGGCTCGCTGGGAAGTGATGCTGCCAACTTGCTGGAGGGGACGATTTGCCCCAAGCTCTCTAGGAGGGTCTGTCTCCGATGCGCTAGGGGTCAGCCCCACTCGCTAAGGGGGGGTCAGCCTCCCATTCGTTAGGGGGTCAGCCCCAAATCGCTGTGAGGATAAGCCCCGGTTCGCTAGGGGATCAGCCCCAGCTCGCTGGGAGGATCAGCCTCCGATTCGCTAGGGGGTCAGCCCCAAATCACTAGGAGGGTCAGCCTCCAATTCGCTCGGGGATCAGCCCCAAATCGCCAGGAGGATCCGCCTCCAATTCGCTAGGGGGTCAGCCCCCAACTCGCTAAGAGGATCAGCCTCCGTTTCGCTAGGGGGTCAGCCCCAACTCGCTAGGAGGATCAGCCTCCAATAACGCTAGGGGAATAGCCCCAACTCGCTAGGAGGAATCAGCCTCCGTTTCGCTAGGGGGTCAGCGCAACTCGCTAGGAGGTTCAGTCTCCAATTCGCTATGGGGTCGGCCCCGAATCGCTAGGAGGATCGGCCTCCAATTCGCTAGAAGATCGGCTCCAACTCTCTAGGGGGATCGGCCCACAATTCGCTATGGGTCAGCCCTAATTCGCCAAGTGGTCAGCCACAAATCGTTGGGGGGTCCGCCTTCAAGGGGATCAGCCCCACTCGTTAGGGGACATCTGCTTCTACCCGTTAAGGAATCCGTCCTTGCTCGCTAGGAGGGTCAGTCTCCCCTTCGCTATGGAATCGGCCCCAACCCTCTAAGGGTGCCGACTTCTAACTCTCTAGGTGAAACCTGCCGCCGTCGCTAAGGGAGGGGTGACCTCTAACGCTAGGTGGCAGCAGCTCCCGAAGGAAACGCGAAGGGGGTCGACTTTCGTCACGCATAAGAGTACCGCCAAAGGTTACTCCCTAATCCCTAAGGTGGTCAAGTGGGGCGTTACTGCGTGTCTCGGTTTCGCGTCGCTGAGAGAAATTCGGCCGCCGCGTCGCTAGGGTTGGGGTCGTGGGGGTTCGGTCTCTGCCTCTACGCGCGACATATTATGTCCAAATTCGTCGAGCAGAGTGCGTTTATCTTCGCTGCCGGTGTACTTCCTCGCCAAACGGAAACGTAATCCTTCTCGCGTTGCCGAGTTCGCATTGCGTCGCGTTTTGGGATCCGAGTGCACGGGTGCGCGCTGCCGTGATCTTTACCCCCTGGTCTCTCGCTCTAACCACTCACCGGTCTGTCTGGGGGATCCATCTCCTCCCCGTCGCGTTCAATCACGCGCCTCGCCGGTGCCGACTACAAGCAAGTCAAACAACAAGGTCGGAAAGTCAGATGCGATGGACTTGGTCCGGCTCTGAGACGGGTGCTCTGCCTTCGCTTCATTGCAATGAACCATTCACAAGGATGACTTGTCGCTCTTCTAGGTGTGTCTAACTGGTCCGTCGGTCGCTGCTTGTTATGATGGGTCGGTCGACCCAGTATGCTTGCAAGTTTTCCTTATCAGCCATTGCTCAAAACTAGCACGAATTAAGATGACAAAGACGCTATTAGTCGCTTAAATCCCGACGAAGGCAAGGAGCGCCTTCAGTCGCGCCTTCTCTCAGCCGGTCAACCCGCCGACACCGCTCTTGCGGCCCAGATGCCGATGACTGGGCAAAGGCTGGCCAATAAGGAAACAAATTTCATACCTCGTTTTCCATTACTGGGTACGCTTCGTTGTTTCTTGGCTCCGGTGGGTCGGTGTAGTTTGGCTGGCTCTTGGTTGTCTCTACTCGCTACCTTAGCGAAGAGACGTTAAAATGATATTGAGAGAGAGGGACTGAATTGCGCAGATGCTCGGTATGTTGGAGTTCACTTGCTGTCGTACCACCGTTGTTGCGAGCATTTAAGTCTCTGTAAAGGCCCACTTCACGCTAGTCCGGTACGGAGCGACGAGCATTTACATTCAAGCACTTCTGAGTTGTAAAACCAATAAATCCGACGGTTGGTTCAAACCTGTTCACGTCAACCAGATATCTTGAAGGCATTGACAAGTATATTAGCACGGCTCGTAATTGGTACAGTTATCGTTTGGCCGAGTGTACCTTCTTAACGAGTGGCCGTACCATGTTACTGATCGAATGTTGCGTGGACTTGTCACATCGCCGGCGATCTCTCTCTTCTCTGGTATCATCGTTATCTTCTGAAAAGAAATAAATCCAAGGATGCTACGATGCTACCAGCGTCTATATCGACCGTTGCATTTGCAATTTTACTCTCAATTATTCTTGTCCAAGTCGTGAGTCATGCTTTCTTTCTGCATTCAAATGTTACAAAACGGAGCGAACCTAATTGAATTGCTGATTGTCAACCTGCAGAGCGCCGACCTGATACCACCAACGAATATCTCGGCCTGCGCCGAGGGTTGCACGACGTATGGAACATGCAACGAGGACATTGGGAGGCAAGGGAGCAATTTATGAAGCGGCAAGCATAATCTCGTGACTGCTTAACAAACGCACATTCGCCTACTCCTGCCTTCGCACCCGTAGATGCGACTGCCCCAAGAACAGAACAGGCCCCAGCTGCTTGGACGTAGCCGATCGCTCCATCCTTCGGGGACGATGTGCAAAGGCGTTTTACCCGTCCATCATGGAGTGCACCAAATCGGAGTTGTCGTGCCTCAACAACTGCAACAAGAAGGGAACATGCACGGGCGGCTGGTGCCACTGCCAACCTGGTGCGGCGGGGGGGGGGGGATAGGGAAGGCGCGGGGGCCCTGGGTGGGGAGGCCCTGCGGAAGGGGCGGTCTGGAGACCTGGAGCGGGGCGCAAGGGAGGGTGTGTGTGAGAGGGAGAGTGTGTGTGTGTGTATGTGTATGTGTGTGTGTGTGTGTGTGTGTGTGTAGATGAAAGAATGCACTTGCACTCCTGCACCTGCACCTAGCCAACCTACTCGACCAACGTCCCCTCCCGACACATGGTCCCCCCCCCCCCGCAGCCCTTCCCGCAGGACGGATCTCTGCGCATGTCTGAATTGCATGGCATGGCATTGCATTGCGTGTGGCGGTTCCGCACCTGTCCCGTCCAGTCCCGTCCTGTCGGGAGGTTGTGCCTGATCTGGAAACCCTGCCTCGCCCTCGGCCCCTCCTTGCCTCCTCTTCTTACGATAGGGCGCTTCGGCGCGGACTGCTCCCTGTCCCTGGGCCCGGACGGTCGCCCCCAGCTGCTGGCGGATAAAGGGTATCAGACGCGGGAGAAGAGGCCGTGGGTGTATGTGTACGAACTACCGCCGCACCTCTTCACCTGGTGGGCGCGTTACGGCTGTGACCGTGGCTGTGTGTGTGTGTGTGGGGGGGGGGGTATGCCGGGGTGTATGAGGGGGCTTCTGGGGGCCCCGGAGCCCGGCTGGGGTGACTGGTCGGTCGGTTGGTTGGTTGGTTGGTTGGTTGGTTGGCGTTTCCGGGGTCTGGGGTTTTTTGTGCCGTTGGAGGGGAAAGGTTGGGAACCCCAGCCCCTAGGTGTGCACCCGTGTGTATGTGTGTATATATGTATGTATGGATATATGTACGCACGCACCTCCCCTTCATCCCCCAGGCTTAACACCAAACGACTGGACCGCTCAACTCACCTGATGTTCTACCAGCGGCTGTTGGGCTCTGGGGCCCGGGTGGCGGATGGAGATCTGGCGGACTGGTGAGGCGGGTGTGTGTGTGTGTGGTGGTGTGTGTGTGTGTGGGGGGGTGTATATGCCAAGCCAAGGATCTGCAACCGCTTTTTGCGTCCCACTTCTCCCCCCCCCCCCCTTATCTCTTCCCCCCTGTCGCAGGTATTACATCCCCATTAGGCTCCGAACCGCGACCGATTCGGCCTTTTTGAAATACGCCATTGAATATATACGGGAGGCCTATCCCTGGTGGAACCGTACGGGAGGTGCACGACACTTCGTCATACACACGGGTGAGGAGGTGGCAATGGCGCTTGGCGGTGGTGATGCCGTCCAGGGAGAACTTCGAGTCGGGCAATGACGACAATGGTGGACGAGCAGCTTCCCTTTCTTGGTCAAGGTGCTCTTCTTCCCGTCATGTCGGGGGGAGGGGTCGGTTTCGGAGCCCTTCCATGAATCGCCCGACTGCACCCGACTGACAAATACACTCTCCCCTCCTTCCGCTGCCCCCCCCCTTGGGTTGCCACTCAACCCACACACACAGGTGACTTGGGTGCGGATGAGGTGATGGATGATGTGTACGGCATGGCGGCCAACATGACGTGGCTGACACGTGAGTGGGGATCTCCCTCGGCCCCCCGGGGGGCCCCTGGGAAGGGAGAGGGGATGGAGGTGGAGGGGACACTTCCGCCTCAATGGAATCTGGCAATATGCTGGTCATTGCAGCCTGCCTGCCTGTCTGTCTGTCTATCTGTCTGTCTCTCTGCCTCCTTTGTCCATCTCTCGCTACCGTCCACTAATAACCCCCGGCCCCCGCCCCTCCTCAGATTGGGGCCTTACGGTGGATAAGAACACCTCCGGCTGGTGGAAGGCACACCGCCCCGACAAGGTGGGGATGCGGGTGCATTGAGGGGTTCACCACTCTCCCCCCCCTCAACCC